AAAATTCATAGCTCTAAGTGCCTACAAAAAAGAAACTGGAGGGAGCATACATGAACAACTTGACAACACACCTGAAAGCCCTAGAACAAAAAGAAGTTAATACACCCAAGAGGAGTAGACGGCAGGAAATAATCAAACTCAGGGCAGAAATCAACCAAATAGAAACAAAAAGAACTATACAAAGAATCAATAAAACCAGGAGCTGGTTCTTTGAGAAAATCAACAAGATAGATAAACCCTTAGCCAGACTAATCAGAGGGCAGAGAGCCAGTATCCAAATTAATAAAATCAGAACTGAAAAGGGTGACATAACAACAGAAACAGAGGAAATTCAAAAAATCATCAGATCCTACTACAAAAGCCTATACTCAACAAAATTGGAAAATCTGGATGAAATGGAAAGTTTTCTAGACAAATACCAGTTACCAATGTTAAATCAGGATCAGATAAACCATCTAAACAGTCCCATAACCCCCCAAAAAAATAGAAACAATCATTAAAAGTCTCCCCACTAAAAAAAGTCTGGGACCAGACAGTTTTAGTGCAGAATTCTATCAGACCTTCAAAGAAGACCTAATACCAATTCTCTTCAAACTATTCCACAGAATAGAAACAGAAGGAACACTACCCAATTCGTTCTGTGAAGCCACAATTATGCTCATACCTAAACCACACAAAGACCTAACAAAGAAAGAGAACTTCAGACCAATCTCCCTTATGAACATTGATGCAAAAATACTCAATAAAATTCTAGCAAACTGAATCCAAGAACACATCAAAACAATTATCCATCATGATCAAGTAGGCTTTATCCCAGGAATGCAGGGTTGGTTCAATATACAGAAATCCATCACTGTAATCCACTATATAAACAAACTCAAAGAAAAAAAACCACATGATCATCTCACTAGATGCTGAGAAAGCATTTGACAAAATTTAATACCCCTTTATGATAAAAGTCTTGGAAAGATCAGGAATTCAAGGTCCATACCTAAACATAGTAAAAGCAATATACAGCAAACCAGTAGCCAACATCAAACTAAATGGAGAGAAACTTGAAGCAATCCCACTAAGATCAGGGACTAGGCAAGGCTGCCCACTCTCCCCCTACCTATTCAATATAGTACTAGAAGTCCTAGCCAGAGCAATTAGGCAATACAAGGAGGTCAAAGGGATACAAATTGGAAAGGAAGAAGTCAAAATATCGCTATTTGCAGATGATATGATAGTATACTTAAGTGACCCCAAAACTTCCACCAGAGAACTCCTAAACCTGATAAACAACTTTAGCAAAGTGGCTGGATATAAAATTAACTCAAGCAAATCAGTAGCCTTCCTCTACTCAAAAGATAAACTTGCTGAAAAAGAAATTATGGAAATGACGTCCTTCACAATAGTCACAAACAATATAAAATACCTTGGTGTGAATCTAACCAAGCAAGTAAAAGACCTGTATGACAAGAACTTCAAGCCCCTGAAGAAAGAAATTGAAACAGATCTCAGAAGATGGAAAGATCTCCCATGCTCATGGATTGGAAGGATTAATATAGTAAAAATGGCTATCTTGCCAAGAGCCATCTACAGATTTAATGCAATCCCCATCAAAATTCCCACTCAATTCTTCACAGAGATAGAAAGAGCAATCTTAAAATTCATTTGGAATAACAAAAAACACAGGATAGCAAAAACTGCTCTCAGCAATAAAAGAACTTCTGGGGGAATCACCATCCCTGTCTTCAAGCTGTACTACAAAGCAATAGTGATAAAAACTGCATTGTATTGGAACAGAGATAGGCAGAAGGATCAATGGAATAGAATAGAAGACCCAGAAATGAACCCCCATACCTATGGTCACTTGATCTTTGACAAAGGAGCTAAAACCATCCAGTGGGAAAAAGACAGCATTTTCAACTGGAGGTCAGCATGTAGAAGAATGAAAATTGATCCATACTTATCTCCTTGTACAAAGCTCAATTCCAAGTGGATCAAGGACCTCCACAAAAAACCAGCTACACTGAAACTAATAGAAGAGAAATTGGGGAAAAGCCTCGAACACATGGGCACAGGAGAAAAGTTCCTGAACAGAACACCAATGGCTTGTGCTCTAAGACCAAGAATTGACAAATGGGACCTCATAAAACTGCAAAGCTTCTGTAAAGCAAAGGACACAGTCAATAGGACAAAGTGGCAACCAACAGATTGGGAAAAGATCTTCACCAATCCTACATCTGATAAAGGGCTAATATCCAAGGTATACAAAGAACTGAAGAAATTAGACTCTAGACAATCAAAGAACCCTATTTAAAAAATGGAGCAAAGAGCTGGACAAAGAATTCTCAACTGAGGAAGCTCGAATGGTTGCGAAGCACCTAAAGAAGTGTTCAGCATCCCTAGTTATCAGGGAAATGCAAATGAAAACAACACCTCACACCAGTCAGAATGGCTCTGGTCAAAAACACAGGTGACAGCAGATGTTGGTGAGGATGTGGAGAAAGAGGAACACTCCTCCACTGTTGGTGGGATTGTAAACTGGTACAATCACTATGGAAAGCAGTCTGGCGGTATCTCAGAAAATTGAATATAGTGTTACCTGAGGACCCAACTATACCACTCCTGGGCATATACCCAAAAGATGTTTCAACATACAACAGGGACACATGCTCCACTATGTTCATAGCAGCCTTATTTATAACAAGCCAGAAGTTGGAAAGAACCCAGATGTCCTTCAACAGAAGAATGGATGCAGAAAATGTGGTACATTTATACAATGGAGTACTACTCAGCTATTAAAAACAATGAGTTCATGAAGTTCTTAGGCAAATGGTTGGAGCTGGAAAATATCATCCTGAGTGAGGTGACCCAATCTCAAAAGAACATACATGGTATGCACTCACTGATAAGTGGATATTAGCCCAAAAGCTCACAATACCTAAGACACAACATATAGACCCCATGAAACTCAAGAAGAAGAAGGAAGACCAAAGTGTGGGTGCTTTGGTCCTTTCTAGAAGGAGTATCAAAAGTTTCAACCAGAGCTCCCAAAGTCTAAACCTCCAGCCTGAGAGCACCAAGAGAGGGGCTCATGTCTCCACCTGTATAAGTAATTGAGGGTAGCCTTGTCAGACATCAGTGGAAGTGGAGGGCCTTGGTCCCCAAAAGTTTGGATCCCCTTTAGTGTTGGGGAATTCAAGAGCAGGGAGCTGTATTCCCCCCTGAACACCCACGCTCCAGTGTCATCCCCTTCCCCACGTCCTGCCTTTCTGTGTTTATAACCCCTGTGTGAATGAATTACGATTTGAAAAAATAAATAAATTATTTTTAAAAAGAAGTATTTAAAATGTTTTTCAAAAGAAAATAATTTTCTACAGGTGCATTGTCATCTGCCTTTTTATCCCTATGAAGATCTTGACTTAGGAATCACCCAGGTAAAGTTAGGAGATGTGTAACAGGAGGGACAGGTTGTGCTAAGCTTTTAGCAGTCCCCTGGGGAAGGAAGAATGACTATAATACATACCTGTCTCCATCATGAAAATGTTCTCAGGCTACCACCCGCTGAACAAATGCTCTTGAAACTAGTGAGCTCCCTTGAAGCAGCATAGAACTTGTCCAGCATACTAGGAGGTGCTCAGCCAACCAGATGCATCTATTTTCTCTGTGGAAATTAAGACACAATTAAGCTTCTGGGAGCCAGAGTTCTCAAAATCAAGCATGTAACAATTCCCAGTTGTTTAAGTAAATTCCTAATTCCAAGTAATTCCTCTATTACTTAATTTTTGGACTTAAAAATTTCCTTAGACCATTTTGTTTTCTTAGTGCCATGTCATTTATAATTAACACTTTATTTAAAAACATTATTATAATTTAGAACTGGAATCCATAGTGTATTTCTTTTCCTAATATATAGACACTTGAAAGTAACCATTAAAATTATCTGGCCTGGAGCTGGGCAGTGCTGGTGCACACCTTTAATTCCTGCATTCCAGAGGTGGGGGCAGAGGCAGGAGAATCTCTGAGTTTAAGGCCAGCCAGGACTACACAGAAAAATCCTGTCTCAAACAAAACACACCATTATCTGGCCTGTGGATATAGCTCAGTAGTGGAGTATTTACTCATTATGCAAAAGACCCTGGTTGCAATCCCAAGTATTGGCAAAAGATATACAAACACCTCTTCATAATTTGAGAACTGACATTATAATATTGGTAAACTGAAATTAGTTTCTTAATGCTAAACTTGAAAAAATTGTGTGCTTGTGTTTAAAAATTAAAAGAATCAGTATTTTACAGTAGTCTGGACCTTTTATTTTGAACCTAGTTTCATTTTTCCTTCAGATTAAACATGTTTCTTCATTAGATAACCAGAAGTATTCAATATTAGTCAAGAACTGATACACACTTAGAGAGAGTACAAGCCCGAAATCTCACTAAGCACTCTCAGCCTGAACCTAAAGATAAATTAATTCAATTAATTTAGAAGGGAACTAAATGCCAACAATTCTCTGACATGACTCCTCCCCTAGGAGATTAGTGATGGGACTGCCTCATCATCTAGGACACTGCCAGGATCTTGAGATCTGACCTGCCAAGTTCATCCATGTTCCATCCTCTCTTCTCAGAGCAGTCATGTATATTTCTGAATGCTACCTCAGTCTTTAAGAAATTTGCAAAAGAATATGTGATATTATTTTCTTTATGCTGTGATAGGAACAACCAGTCTATTTAGCTTTTATATGTGTCAGAGAACAGTGGAGTTCCATATTCAAGAGCTCATAACTCCAGCTGTCAGACTCTTACACAATAAAAACACGATATTCCTGAACCTGTGACCTGATGAAAAACTAAGTAATTCCCTAAATGAAAGATTGCATGTCTTTATAATAAGTTATACACTCTGAGCATTGTAATAACCTTTTTTTCCAGACTGATCTGTGATCCTAGACCCAGTGAGAACCCATCTATCCACTTGGTAATTGTGAAATAATTTGTTTCTTTCTATCTCAGAGAGAAAAATCCCAGATGAAGATTTCATCATTTTAATTGATGGATTAAATGAAGCAGAATTTCACAAACCGGATTATGGGGATACAATTGTATCATTTCTAAGTAAAATGATTGGAAATTTTCCTTCTTGGCTCAAACTAATTGTAACAGTTAGGAGCAGTTTACAGGTATGTGTTTGTTTGCTTCTGAACTGTAGATTATCTCCCTTCCAAGGAGCTTAAACTGAGAAAGTTCTGAATCCTAGTTCTCTTAGCTCTTCTTAAACCTAAGAGACATGATCTAGAAAAAACCATTCTCTCTGTATGTCAAGATCCTATTCCCATTGCTCTGGGTAAGGCTTCGTAAAATGTTCCTCAAAATAGCATTAAGAGGCTAAGTATGTAATCCAACCACACCTGAAGCAGAAAAAGGAGGGTCATGAGTTCAAGATCAGTCTAAAAGGAGCAAAAAAGAAAAGAAAAAAGAAAAGTTTATTCTTTGGACTTTGTCCTGATGTAGTAGTAGTGAAAAGGGGGAAATGACTCACACTTTGAATTCCACTTCACACGTTCAGCCTGCCCTAGAGGCTCACACTTCCCACTTCTTCCCTCACTTACCCTTGAGCTCATTTTTTGGTAGTGTGGATGTAAAGTTGTCACTGTCTATGCCTTCCTCTCACAAATATTGGCAATATTAGGACTTCAGATTATATTTATTACAACTAAGAGATAATGTTTTGCTTCCTTTAAATTATCCTTCCTACTTGTTAATAATAGTTTAATGGCCTGAAAGAACCAGGAATGTGGTATTGAGTCTGTAAAAAGTACTGGGCTAAGGAGATAGTGTTGTCGCTCCCGTTCTTTTGTGTTCATATGTGGTTTGGAATAGTGAGTCCCATCTTTAAAAAAAATCCCTTCTTGATTAAGATCACATAGAATATATAATCATCCCACTATTTTGATATAGCCCATTTGTAATAACTAATACATAGATGAGTCACATTAAGTCTCCCACCTTTCCCCTTCTTCAGCTTCTACTGTTATTCTTATATATTGGCAAATTGTATCTACTGACCTCCTGACAAGAAGCAGTATCCCTAATCCCTTCACCATACAGATGTTTGCTATCATTCTGCAGGTTATGTGGGTTACAGTCTAGATCCACATAATGATCTTTACAGCTAAAATTACATACAACCTAATTAGTGGATCGTAGCTTTGTTGTTAAAATATTAATAGGAAAGATCTCCAGGAACAAAATTGTGTGTTTGGTTTTATTTCTTGGTTTGTTTTTATTTTTGTTTGTTTTCATTTTTTTAAGGAAAAAGAAAATAAATTTTATTAGGTAACCTAGGCTGGCCTCAAACTCATGATCCTCCTGTCTCAACCTCCTAAGTATTGAATTTACAGATATGTGCCACCACACCTAGTTATGATCTCTACTTTTGATATTTATGCATAGGCAGTGTTGACCTGAGATCTATTCTAACATGATATCATTTGTAATTGAAGAAGAAATTTTAAATGTCTAGGTAGATAGAGCAGAAAAACCTTCATTTTTTAACTGTGCTAAAGAATAGACAGAGTACTATGCATGTTCCAGATGTAAAGTCCAAATTTCAGTGTCTTCATGGGTAAAGACCTGCAGTAACTTCCTAGATACTGTATTCTCCTCAATGAAGAATTTCTAAGAATTATTTTCCTTACAAAATCATATGTAATTTTCCATTCTATAGACATTTCTTGGATATTTAGAGTATGTCCTATACTGTCCTAATACTTGAGGATTCAGTAGTATATAACACACACATTGTCTCTGCTTCCACGACACTTTTTTAGTAAGGAACACAAACAAAAAAGTATAATTAAACATACTGTAATATTATGGGTAATATCATGTCAAGTACTGTGTCAAGTACTATGAAGAAAAATAAAATAGTATAAAGAAATGGTAGTTTTGGGTAGATAGAAGCCCCTCCAGTGAGCATTAGAAAGTGATGAAATCTGATCTACCATTTTTTAAAGATCTATCTTCTGGTTGTATATATCATAAAATACAGAAGATGGAGATCATAAAAAGAAAGGGGTTGAAAGTTGATGGTGTCTTAAACTAGCCATATTTGGAAGATATCTTTAAGGAGAATATAAAGCAGTTGATCAGCCAGGTGTGATGGTTCACACCTATGATATCATCATTTTGAAGACTGAGGCAAGAGAGTTAAGAGTTCTAGACCATCCAAGCTACGTAGAAAATTCAAAAGGAAAAAAGGCTTGGTGACAGACTGGATGTGAGTATAAGCAAGATATCAAGAAAGAATCCTTGGGTTTGGTGAGTCCATGAACAGATGCCATCTTCAGAAACAAAGATCCCAAATGCCTCCAAGGATTTAGTGTCAGGATCAATGGCAATGCAGTTAATTTGTTAACGCAGGGACTGCGTTGTGATTGAGTGTAAAATTTAATATTTTTATTTAGTCTCATTAAGTTTATCTATGAAACATCAAAGTATAAATTGCTTGGTAAACCAAGATACAAGGTGAGAACTCAGAAAATTAAGTAATCTGGCAAAATAGATGATATTTATAACTGCTTTAGAGAGTGGGAATGGCTGAAGAAGGAAAACTAATAGAGACTTGAGCCTGAAGAGGGCTGGAAAATGAAAGAAGCTAGCAGAAGAAGCTTGGTAAAACTAGTCGGTGTGATAAGAAAATGAGGATGTGTCTGAAGAACAGGCTGCTGAGAATGATTCCCCAGAATGCTGTGGGAAGGTGTGGTCAACAGTGAAACACTGCTGAGATCCTGAGAAGATGAAAACTAAAGCTAGTTATTGGATTACCCAAGATTAAGATTATTGATAATCTTGGCAATAACCATTTTAGTGAATTGATAAGGTTTCTGTGAAGCCAGAGTATGAGGAATAAAGAGAAGGGAAGAACTTCTTCAGTTTCATCCTCACATACTCTTTACAAAGACCCATAGAATGTCTCAGTGTTAGAAAAGCCATCTTCTTACTGTGTGCATAATTTCCTTTAGTCTATGGATATCATGCTTAATATTATTTTCTTCTTTGGCCACCCAGAAATTTAGACTAAATTCTGGAGCTCCTAGTTTATAAGAGAGTTAGGGGAAACTGAAGGTCTTTCTGTCTATCTCTCTCTATCTCTCTCTCCATCTATTTTAGGAAATTACCAAGTTGCTGCCTTTCCATAGGATTTTTTTGGATCGACTAGAAGAGAATGAAGCCATAGACCAGGACCTGCAGGCTTACATCCTGCACCGGATTCATAGCAGCTCAGAGATCCAGAATAACATCTCACTTAATGGCAAGATGGACAATACTACATTTGGCAAGCTCAGTTCTCACCTCAAGACCCTCAGTCAAGGGTCATACCTATACCTGAAACTCACATTTGACCTCATAGAGAAAGGATACCTAGTGCTAAAGAGTTCTAGCTACAAAGTCGTTCCTGTTTCGCTCTCTGAGGTTTACTTACTCCAGTGCAATATGAAGTTCCCAACTCAGTCTTCCTTTGATCGGGTGATGCCTCTCCTGAATGTGGCAGTGGCCTCTCTCCACCCACTTACCGATGAACATATCTTCCAGGCCATCAATGCTGGGAGCATTGAAGGCACATTAGAATGGGAAGACTTTCAACAAAGAATGGAGAACCTCTCCATGTTCCTAATCAAGCGTAGAGACATGACTCGGATGTTTGTGCACCCTTCTTTTCGAGAATGGCTTATCTGGAGAGAAGAAGGAGAGAAAACCAAATTTCTCTGTGATCCCAGGTAAGATAAAGATCATGTGATTCTAAGCCTGTTTTAAATTTATAGTGTAGAGCATGGATATCGAAGGCAATGGGAAAAGCTCTTACTCATACACTTCCCACAGAGGAGAATTTTCTCTGCTTCTCAAAGCAAGGCTGTAAAGTTTAACCTGTTACTCAGGTTGTGACTCACCAAAAAGACTGAAGCTCTGACACTGCTGGGTTTTTAGTGTCCCTGTGGCCCTGCTGTTCACCAGACCTTGTTATAATAACTATATTTGTGGGCATGCTCTCAGCCTATTTCTTCATGCTGATTCATTAGAGAGCTAGTTTCAGATTCTGATGATGATATTAAGCCAGGCAGAAAAGAATTTATGATATTTTCCCAGAGCAGGAAGCTTACAATGAAGCATGCTTGCCTGGAAAGAATATGAACTGTTGGATCCTCTAGGAACTGACATTTATTTAATGACCCCAAACCTTAGACCTACGTAAAAGCAGAAGTAATCCCTTCCTCCTACTGCTGGTAAGCAGTAAGCAAGGTCTTACGGTGTAATACCAAGACTACTACAAGTTCAAAAAAAGTGTTGAGAATGTGTGTCTCTTCCTCCCCTGCCTTTTCAGTAACAGATACTTCAGAAGTGTCAAAACTTAGTCCTGTGACTATGTAAAAAACAACACCCTTCTGCTGTTAGCATTTTGAGGCACAGCTTTTTAAAGCAAACCAAATATGGGTCTCTTGCATGAGTTGTGTGACATTCACAAAACTATTTTGCGGTAAGGTAGCATCCAGCCTTATATCTTCAACAGATACCTGAAATTGCAGAGAGAATCAGCCCTATATAAACTTAGCTTTTCCGATTCACATATACCTATGATAGAGTTTATAAATTAGTCACAGTAAGAAGTGAAAAACAGTAAAGCAAATGGATATGGTGTAATAAAGGTTATATGAATGGGGTTTCTCAAAATAGCTTATTGTGTCTTTATATTTTACACTTAAGAGACACTTAGCAAGTTCACAGATTCTCTTTGACATATTCAAATTATCAATCAGCATTACTGCACTTTGGCTTTAGGGACATTATTAAATAAGGTAAAGTTTACTTGAACATGGACACCACAACAACCACTGTGCTAAGAGTGATTAGGGGTATATAACATACAACAGGGATCCACTAGACAAAGGAAGGGCTCAGATCCCAAGCACAACACAGTAAAGTAGCATGAGATTTCAACACAGTATTCAGAAGACACACAATTTAACTTACAAATTGTTTCTTCATGTATTTTTTATTTAATATTTCCAGTTGATCTTGGCTACAACCTTGGAAACTAAAATGGCAGATAATAAAACTACTGAAAATCTTGTTCATATTGCTTCTGACTTTTAAAACATAGAGTTAAAGATTGTGAAGTTAAGAAACAATATTTAATCTAGAGTTACTTAATAAATACTTTGGGGTCAGTTCCCATACAATCTCTTGCTGTCTATTTTCCCACCCTGGAATATGTCAGGATTGAAAAACAGGTAAGTCCAAGGCAAACAGACTACCACTGAATTAACTACCTTTCCTACAAAGAATGAAGTCCTCAGGGGCTCACAAAGAGAATACAGTTTTTATGCAGTATGTTATAACTATATAGGCTTGCTTTCCCAATATTGTTTATTAACTCAGAGCAACAACAGACTGGTACAGATGCTTCTTACTTCAGGTGCTGGGTAGTCTGTTCTTTGATGATGTTAATAACATGGCTGCTGAATGGCCATCATATTTTATTTAAGAGAGAACAAGTAAATTTGTAAACAGAACCAGAAGTTATCAAAAACACTGTCCTTAGTTTTCATTTCAGCTGGAATTCAAGCTCCTCCTCAGTCTGGGACAGCACCAGTCTTGTTACTCAAGTGTTCGTCTCATAGTTGAGACTCCCTGGACAGATAAAGTGGAATTTTATTGAGAACTAAAGGACAGATGCCACCTAGTCTAGCCTTTCAGGGAAACTGGCTACAACTACTTTTCATTAAGGATTATCACCAGGCAAGAGTTGTTTTTATAGCCTTCAGCTTCCATTTCTTGTAAATTTTTTCCCTTCTGTTTTCCATGTTCTCTCCAATTGTGTCTAGAATACCCAGTGTTCTCAGTAGGCCAGAGTAGATCAACTCAGTGCCTCTAATCACACCAGGTAGGCCAGGGCTGACAGTGCGTGTGTAGAGAGAACTCTCAGGAACAACACAACATTGTTTCTTCTAGTCCATTTCCTAGACTTTAAGCAGTTGTTCACTCTGAGCTTGTTGACCTTATTAGGGTATTAAACACACAGAGAATATTCTAGTAATGTCAAAAATTAGTTGCTATTCATCAGAAATAGACTACCTAGGGAAGTGGTATCTTCCCAAACTCAAAAGATCTAGAGTGTAGCGTAAAGAAGAGCACGTCAGGAGGTAGGTGCTGCAGCTGAGAGTGGATTATCTCCATTTTGAAAATCAGGTTGCCTGTTGTCCCAGAATCTGAGCAAAGAATTAAATGTAATGTAGACAGTTATTTAACATTTCTTCAACATAACTGTAACAGAAAGAAATGGATTGTAAATAGTCTCCTTGCCTGGCTTGGTAATAGTGTGATGGGAGGGTTGACTGATTAAACAAAATGTTGCTGGAAATCATTTTTATCATCAAAACTTTGTTTGTTGCAGGATCACTCTATGTAGAACAAGCTATCATCCTCCAGCCTCAGCATCTCAGGTGCTAGCATTACAAGCATGCACTACCTTGCTCAGTTTAAAATGTCTTTCTGATATCAAAAGCTTTGGTGTCTTCTGTCTTTGTGAGAGCATGTCCTGGGAGCGCTCACAAGGCTGAACCTCTTGCCTTATTCTGCATCTGTTTTCCACTGTTCATCACTGTCACTGTGGATTTAATTTGTCCTGTTTTATTCTGTTGGGCACTGAGACATAGATTGGCCCACTAATCTAATAAACTAATCCCTGCTATTATGCTAATAGTGAAAAGGTAGAAAAGCCGTCTGAGGCAACATGTGCGTTTTAAGTGAGGTGGAGAGAAAAGTGGGCTCTACTAGCCTTTTCTGTCCAACCCATTAGTGACTTTGAGAGTAGAAAATTGAAGCTGAGAGATAACAGAGAGCTACCAGTTTTGTGGTGCTGTCTAATTACTGCCTGACATTTCTGTACCACAGTAGACTCAGCCTAAATAAATCTCCATACTTTTTTTCTATTTCCTTTTCTCATTATCTCTTATGATAACTAGCCTCCCCTAAGAACAGCTCTCAGATTGACATTTTGCTCTGGGTGGGACTATTTTGAAAATTAGAAGCTATGTTTTCTTTATTTTTATGGTTGTGAATTAAAGACAGTAAACTTACGAAGTTAATATAATTAGTGTAGACATCATGATGTGGAAGTTTAGGTTAGTTTGACCTGACTTCCTCAAACTAAGAAGAGCAAATACTGTGGTGAGCAAATAGAGGGAAGACTACACAAACTCGTTACTATAATTGTACACTGAACTTGATTCCTCATGACCAGAGTTGATTGCTTATAATTAATGGGGTTTACTTGGGTTTATTTATTTGTTTTGGTTTTTGTTTGTTTTGTTTTTTTGGATGTACATGAACATGAATTACACACTCACTTAGTGAATTATCTTTTGGAGAATTAGTGCTCTTGGCACATGTTGTCAGATAAGCAATTTGTCTAAGATTGAAAAAGAAAGGGGTTAAAAAGAAGGCTAGAGAGTTGGATGGCTCAGAGTTAAGAGCCCTGACTGCTCTTCCAGAAGACCTGAGTTTAATTCCCACCACCTACATGGCAGCTCACAACTGTCTGTAACTCCAGTTTCAGGGGCTACAATGCACTCGCACAGACACATACGAAGTTAAAACATGAGTGCCCATGAATTTTAGTTAATGGAGTATGTTCTTCTAATAAAAATAATTTTTAAAAGAAGAAAGAAGATATCTACCATAATATGACAATTATCAATGCCAGAGCCCTGCATAGCCAGTATACAAATTGATAAATTTTAGTTAGTGAGGTATATTCTTCTAATCCAGATACAAACCTCCAAGTGGGATAACATTTAATCTTGCATAAAGTCAAGGTTACTGCTTCTTGTAGATATTGCAATGTCTCACAATAATCTGTAAGTGTGAAGTGGGTTTTGTTTTCTAAAAGTGTTTATAGACACCTTAGCAAACTGATGAAGCAAGGGAAGAAGACAGACTCCTGGACCTAAATCAGCCCTTAGGTATTCTGATGTGCCTAACATTCTTCACTAATTAGAAGAATTACATTACTATCTTTTCACTTCTAAGGCTTCTCTGCCACCAAGGAGGAAATCAGTATTCTACTGTCCTGGTTTACATATCATGTTTTCCAGGGAGGAGATTTCTCTGACCTTAATATTACTTAGAATTTATCTAATTTAATCAATGAATTTTTTCCTATTATCTAATCACCACAAAAATAAACTTGAAACTAAAATCTGAAGTAGTACTTGAGCTAAAGTTCTGTTTTGTGATATGATTCAAATGAAAATCTAGTATTTTCTTCATTAGTCAAATAAGCAAACCATTTCTATATTTAAATTAACAGGGGTTTGGGGAGGTAAGTGAATAGTAGTGTGTGTGCCTAACATGCATAAGGCCCTGACTTGATCCCCACCATCACAAGAGAAGGAAGGAAGGGAGGGAAGGAGGGAGGGAGGGAGGAAGGGAGGGAAGGAGGGAGGGAGGAAGGGAGGAAGGGAGAAAGGAAGGAAGGAAGGAAGGAAGGTAGGTAGGTCAGCAATCTAGATGTGTTGCATCTTACCTATAATCCTAGCTTCAGGGAGCTGAAGCAGAAGGGTTCAAGTTAGAGGCCAGTTATAAAGCAAGACTATAAAAGTGGAAAAACTATCTAACCATCAAAAGATAGGCATAACATTTATTTTTCCTTTTCCAAGTCCAAAAGAAAGTTTTTTAAAGGTTGATAATAAGAATTTTCCCTCAAACCCAATTAAAGCAG